ATAAGAGAGACAGAGGGGATCGAACTATCCTCTTCCTTTTCTCTTTTCTTCCATTCTCTTCTCTTCTTCCTATAGCTTCTACTGAGCTTCTTCTCCTTCCTTTCTTTCTTCCTGTATTCTGTTTTCAGATTTATTTCAGGTGTGTTTGCTACTTGGTACCAAAGCAGAGGTCCTACCTTCTTTTTTCTTCTCTTTAATCCCATACACAGGATGTATGGAGAGTTGATTGGTTAATTAATTAGCAAGTATTCAGCACAGTTAGAGGAGGCTTTTGGAGATGCAGTGCTTGTTTGGGCCTAGGGCAGGTTCTTGGAGAGTTTCCCAAAAGCCCTAGCCAACTAGAGAGGTTTTTGATTACGGGGGGTATAGAGGGAGTTTTGAAGTAATGCTTGGGGCTCAAATAGAAGCATTCTGATTATCTTTGAGATCGATCCAAATTGGAGAGATTTTTGGAGCCTTTGGTAGGAGCAGTTAGACTTTCTCCCTTTCTCCCATTTTGCTGGGTCAGGTGAAATCCCTAATTTGGCTATTTGAAAAGCAGTTTTGGCCTTAGGGCAGCAAATCTTGACTAGTAATACCCTATTTTGATTTTCTTGTCTTTGTTTGACGAACGAAGCAAATTGGAGGTGAGATGAAACACTCCACAAATTCTGGGTTTGATTTGGGAGGGTTTGTAGAGACTTTGTTGGGGGCAGTGGCCTTAATGAAGTTGGATGGAACCAACTTTTTGGTATGGTCTCAGTAAAGGGAAATGGGAGTACATCACCGGAACCAAGAAGAAACCTATAGAGGATGACCCTACCTATGAGAGGTGGATGCAAGAAAACTACGCAATAGTAGGCTGATTAGTAAATTCCATGCAGCCACATATTAGCAACACTACCTGTGGATGGAGACTACAAAAGAAGTGTGCGATAGTGCCACAAAGACCTATTCCCAAAAGCTGAATGTTGCCAAAGCTTACAAACTGAAGAATGATGTGAACAATCTAAGACAAGGGGAGAAACCCTTAGTTGTTTACTTCTCCATATTGAAATCCCTTTGTAGGAGATTGGCTTTATGGAGACTGTTGTATAGGGGTGCACAAAAGATGCTAAAACACATAAGAAGTTGGTGGAGAGAAATTGAGTTTTTGACTTCCTCACCGGAATCACCCTTGAGTGTGATATTGTGAGACAAAATGTTTTAACAAAAGATGAGGTGACCTTGTCTCAAGCCTATGCAATGGTGAGTAGTGAGAGAGCAAGAGACAGGTTCAGTTTGTGGAACATCAAGTTGGCCATTATGCTAAAGTCAGGATGAAGCCGAAGGTCAATACCAGGAAGAAAGATGTGTGTGAATACTGCAAGAAGCTCAAACATACTAAGGACAATTGTTGGAAGCTGTATCTAGAGCTCATGCCTACCGGATTCAAGAATGGAAATAGTGGTAAAAAGAATGAGAGTGGAAAAGGTGGTAAAGCAAATGTAGCCACCTCCTCACAGAGTGAATAGGGGCTGAGTGTTAAGAAGTCAGTGGGAGAACAACTTGTAGCCACCGGGGTTGAGTATGAGAAATATGACTGAATAATCAATCGCTTGGAGTCTACAACTACAAAACCTACTCCTTTAGAGACACTTTCCTACTCTACTTATGCACACTCAGGTATTTGTGCCATTGCAAATCATGCTATTATTTCAGGTAGTCATAAAATCCCTTGAGCAATTGACTCTGGTGCTTCTGAACATATGACCAATGTTTCACATTTATTCACCTCCTACCAACTCCTATCTAGTTGAGACAAAACATCCCTTGTTGATGGCTCCCTTGCTCCTTTCACAAGCAAGGGAGGCATCAAAACCTCACATTCCCTTACCTTATCCTTTGTCCTTCATGTACCTAAGCTTAATACCAATTTGCTTTCAGTTAGTAATTTAACTAAATCCCTGGATTGTAGTGTAACATTTTTCCCTTCATACTATAATTTCCAAGACATGAAATCTTAGAAGGTGATTGGGAGTGGCCATGAGGTGAATGAGATATACTTGTTGGACATGCCTGAGCAGAGCCAAGTACAACCTCAGAGAACAACCTTTGTTTCAGAGTCAACTAGTCATTGCACTTGCTATGTACACATCCCTAGATCCAAAAGACATAAGTTTGAACCCAAGGCTTGGAAGTGTATGTTCCTTGGTTATGCCTCCACACAAAAGGGTTATTGTTGTTTTGGTCCTATTAGTGGCACCCGGTTTATTTCTATGGATGTCACTTTTGCGGAACTAGTTCTTTTCTATCGTTATTCTTCTGAGGAGGAGAATTCTCTTAAACTGTTTACTTCATTGCATTTCCAAACATCTTTCTTACGACCTGTTGTCCCCTTCCTACTATTCTTTTCTAGCCTCCATTTCCTCTCGACACATTCCTAAGTCAGCAACTGAAGCCTTGGTTAAACAAAAGTGAAGGGAAGCTACAAGTAGGGATGGAAATTTTCCCCGTAAAACGCCCGCCCCGAATGGGGTGGGTTTTCCCCAATCTTAAATGGGGATGAGCTAGGGATGAGGAAAATGTTTTTGCCTTGAATCGGGGATGGGGTTTGCATATAATTCCCCAAACCCGATGGTAAACTAGTAAAATATCCTTAGGTTTAACATTAATTTCTAAAATACCTTTAAGTTTCCTCCAAATTCCTAGGACCCCATAATTCCATTTTTATAATACCTAAATTGTTATAATCCAATTCCTAAAATACTCCCAAATTCCCATAATCCTATTTCTAAAATACCTCTAAATTATATGTATTTTTAGATGGTTGCGTCGGGGTAGGGAAAATTCAGGGATTCCCCGTCCTTGACGAGGAGTGGATGCCCCACTCTAAATCCGCTCCATTTCCATTCCTAGCTATGAGGTTTGAAATAGAAGCTCTTCTTAAAAACAATACCTAGGATGTTGTTGACTTGCCTGTTGGGAAGGAACCTGTTGGTTGTAAGTGGGCTTACACCATCAAGTATCATGCTGATGGATCGATTAAGAGGTACAAGGCACGACTTGTTACCAAGGGATGTACCTAGGTGTATGGAATAGATTGTATTGAGACCTTATCTCTGGTTGCTAAAATGAGTTTTGTGAGGGTTCTTTTGTCTTTGGCAGTGAACTATGATTGGCCTCTTTATCAATTTGATGCCAAGAATGCATTCTTCAATGGTGACCTAACTGAAGAAGTATATATGCAAATTAAATAAGTCACTTTATGGTTTAAAGCAATCAACATGTGCTTGATTTAACAGGTTTAGGGTTGTTTTTGTTTAGTTTGGATACTCTCAGACTCAAATCAGATCATACCCTTTTTGTTAAGAGGAGAGATACTCATATCACCTTTCTTATTGTTTATGTGGACGATGTTGTTATTACTAGCAGTGATACATAGGAGGTTAATGATCTCAAGAAGTTCCTTATTTCTGAATTTGAAATCAAAGACTTAGGGGAGTTGAGATATTTCTTGGGCATTGAAGTTGCTAGAACCAAAGAAGGTATCTTCATTTTCC